AAAAAAAAAAAAAAAAAAAGACCCTGCATTAGATATTATCATGTGAAAAAACAGATTTTATATAAAAATATTGACTTTTTATTTTCATGATAAAAAAAATACCTGACATTATTTCCTGGCATTTTCTCCTAGTAACAATGAACTGACACTGAAATAGGCTACACTCGGGAAGAGGGCCATTCTCCACTTTGTACACTGCCTGATACACTCATTGAACAGTTTCTGTCTGGTTCTCAGCGTGTGTGAGCCCTTTGCACAGATCCAGTCCCCACTGACAATATGGTGGCATACAGTGGTCCTGTAAGTGCTGTTGAATAAATGAATGGATGTGTGGGTACACAAGTTAAATGCACATAAATTAAATAATCATGCTGGGCTCAGCATACCCCTCCTTCCTTTCATATCTTTTGACATGCGGCCTGGTCTCCATTCAACAGAACCAACCTGGATTTATGTCAAAATGGTGGGGAAGGGGATCTAGAAGAGTGTATGCAGTGAGGTGACCCTTCTAGGGATCATGCTGAAGTAGGAATTTCCCAGAAGGGAAGCCATTTCACCTTCATCCACACATCAATTTATCCATGCACACATGCAACCGTCCATTCGTCCATCCTACCACTGATTTAATCAATGGTTGAATGTCAATTTATGTTTCATACTTCCAGGCACCAGGAGCCCCACCTAATCTTAACACTTGCCCCATCTATACCATTGCAGCTCTGTCCTTTCCTGCCCATTCAAAGCATCCACCAGAACTATCTTGCACAACTCTGTGCTCCGGGCCCTGCTGAGATGTGGGAGCTGAGATTTATTGCTATGTCCAAGTATAAGGATTTTCCTCAACTTTTGTTCCCCTGCTTCAATATCAGTTGCTTGATTTCCTCTTCCCCATCCTCAATCCATGGGCTTATCTCCTGGATTTTCTGACCATTCTCTGCTCCCAGAAGTAAGGGATGTGGAGGGAGGCTGATTGGCTTAAGCTAAGAAGGAAGAAATCTATTCCTCCAGCCCATGACAGACACCTAGTCTATTCAAGTTAGTGAGACAAGAGGAGGTAGACACTTGGTCATCAAGGAAGACACTCTCTGGAATTGTTGGCCACCATTTTGGGGAGACAGAAACTAGAATATGTCCCCCCAGAATATGCTTCTTTGCCACAAATGTTTCTGAGCTGAAGGTAGTTGAGAAGCAATAGACAAAGGGGGAGCTCTTCCTACACCCCCATGCCTCTGTCTTTTATTTCTAAAGACAAGATATGCATTCTTCTTTACTAAAGACAACCTTATCAGCTCAGAGATGGATCAAGAACCTATAAACAAACATATTCCCTTAATGTCTTCACATGTATTTACTTTGCTACCTTTGGTGGTCTAGGTCTGCTTTCCTTCGTTTTGTCACTTTTCTAAAAGTTACTGTGTTTTGCCTAAAACTTTCTGAAAGTTATTGCCTATAATTCTAAGCCAGCACACTGTGTTTCTCCAACATGGTGGGCATCACACACATTAATAAACTTGCTTGCTTTTCTGTGTTAATCAGTCTTTTGTTATCGATGTCTGTCCCAACTAGCAACTTAGGAGGGTTGGGGCAAAATTATATTTTCTCCTGTTCTGGGAGGGTGATGAGATGCCTCCCTGAAAACGAAGCCAATGCTGAACAACAGCCAAATGACGGAAAGAGAAATCGTCCCTATTAAATGATCAGAGCACTGGATATAGCCTTACCTGAATCGCCAAAATCTCTGGGCCAACAAATTCTTTTTATTTTCCAGGGTTCTTCTCTTGGTGACCCTGTCACTGCTTCCCCCTGACTGTCCTCTCCCCTTCTGACATCTCCTGTGCTCCATCCAGGATGTCCCATATGTCTTGCTAGTAGTGTGCCAAACCTATCTCAGCCATTGGCTTCATTTCCTGTTCTAGCTTCTGACTTATACCGTACAGAAGGTAGCAGACCTCTTGTGACCCTATGACATACAGAAAACTTTAAAATTTCAGGACTTTTTGCCAGGTTCCAGAGACTTTGGGAGAACAGGGTATGTTACGGCCAGGAATGCTGAAGACAGATACAGCCACATGCAGCACGTGAGCTCTTCACTTAGATGAATTCAACTCTTTAAGCTCAGGAAGAGGGGGAAAGGCCAATTTCAATAGTGTGGAAATGGATGCTCACCCCTGAGCCAATAAGTGTTCATCTCACAGTGAGCCTATGTTTCTGGAAACTTGAATTTGCCCCCTATGACCACTCTTGGTGTGGCTAAGCATTGTTCTGGTGGTCAAAAGTTAACTTTTTTTAAGTATGGTGTGATAGTTAATTGCAGTGTCAACTAGACTAAGAAACACCTAGCACATTACCTTAGCAGAGTTCTGGATGTGTGTGAATGATTAATTTACTGATGAGGAAAGACCCACCCTGGGTGTGGGTGGCACCAACCAATAGGCTTGTAGCCCGGATGGGATAAAAAGGGCAAGAAGAAGGAAGCCTTGCTTTGCTTCTTCAGAGGAGCTCCAGTCTTCAACATTCGCTTTGGACGTCTATCTTCAGGCTTCCAGCACAAACCCTTCAGCTCCCCAATACAGATTCATAGGGGATTCTGCAGTGAGCTCCAGGCCTTCAACTTTTATCTGGATCCTCCTGCCCTCCAGTACAGAGACAGCCCTTTTACATTCTTGCACCCCTGACTCTGCAGGCAGCCATTATAGCCTACCTTGTAAATTCTTACGTATCATATGTGCTATTTTATATTAAGACCATTTCTGTGGTGAACTCTAACTGATACATTTGGCATCTAATGTATGCCAATTACCCTATCTGCTGCTCAAAAGAGGAATAAGCAATCTGTTCCACACTGGGGACAACTGACCCTGCTGAACCATTCATGGAGTGGCATGTCATTTTCCTGTGATGACCTATAGGGTTTTCACTTTTTGTGATGACTTCAGAACCAGCTCTTATAGGCTCCAAAGGAAACTGAGACCAAAAATGCAACACTGATGAGACAATCACAAGACAGGAAATGATACAAGGTCATTTAAAGAAACCATGGACAGATGACATGGACAGATTTCCATTAAAAATGGGCTAACGTGAGGTTATGACTGGGGAGGAGGCAGCTTTCGGGGTTCTGGGTCCAGCGCTGCTAGTAAAGGAGTGGTGTAGGGGGGTCTGCTCCATATGCCAGGTCCTGGCATGTGGAGAAGCTGCAGCTGAGGTAATTTTCTGGGCATTCTCCTCCTTGCTCCTCCCCCTGAGTTATTCGAAGGTTAATCTGAGAAAAAAGTAATGTATTAGGTATTAAATACCATGCCAACTGTGCCCTCATTTCTAAACCTTTTGTTAAGTTTTGGATATGTATTCCTTCAGCATGAACCTCAACCCTACCAACCCACGTGATCTCATGCATTTGGAGGAGAAACGTTTCCTGGTAAAATAAAAAAATATCAATTAGTTTCTATTTAATGAATCCATTATGGTCCAAGACTTCTAAGAGGTCCTTAATCTAAGCAACTTTAAAGTAAATATGCCATTAAGAAGTCTGGACTTCTCCAATTTTCTGTAATTCATTTACAGAGTAGCACTTGGATTAATCCTCAGCGCCCAGTTCCAAGGTTTGGGGTTATGTTTTCGGTCGCAACTGAAATTTTGTTTGAACAATGCCAGCTGTGGTGCCTCTGGCTCCAATAAATAAAAAGCAGCGAATCAAGTTCAGATGCCTTTTGGACTGACCAAGAATCATGGCAGAACATGTTTGCAGCAGAAGCCTCAGATCTGGAAGGAGGGAAGAATAAATCTAAGTAATCTAGTTCAGCTTTTAGTTTCTGGAGAAGACTGAGGTAATGTAGAACTGAGTTCTTTGTAATCCTCGTTTCATAAAAGGCGTGATCCTGTTTATGTAATAACATAAAGGACCACCATTTACCCAAGAACAAGACCACACCAGTGCTTACTTCTGCCAAGAAGCACTTTCCCAACTGCACCCCTACACTCCCCCACCCCTGCCTCAGGCGACCGCACTGTGTGACAGATTGCTTGATTTTCAATTGTATGAAAAGGGTATCAAGCCACATGCAGTCCTCTGAGACCTGCCTGCTTCCTGTTTGCAATGAAATTTATCCATGTTGAGCATAGTACTGTTCACCCGTTTGCCCTGCTACGTCACACACCATTGTGCCAATGGACCACAGTCTGAGCATCTGAGTTGTTCTTGGGGGTTTGTCACTATGGACAGCGCTGCGGTGGACAGTCCCATCCAGTGGACATTGACTGGAGTCGCTGAGCTCTGGATGTACAACTTCACACGCACATGTTGTTTTCATATTCCTAACTGGCTGTGCCGATTCATTGTCTCACCAGGAAAGTGTGTGAGATCTTTTTGCTTTCTAGGCACTCTGACAGTTTATTTTGCCCAGCTTCTGAGGCTTTGACTATCACGTGAGTTACAAGATGTAATCTTTAGTCTCATTCACCTCTTCGCTGACTATGGATGTTGTCGGACATATCTTTGTGTGTTTGTTGGCTATAGGGGTTCCTGCTATGAAATTCCTGTTCATGATTCACATTTTTTTTTCTACTAGGCTGTTTGACTCTTCTTTATTGATTTCTAAGAGTTCTCAAAATGTATTCTGAATGCTGATCTTTTATCAAGTGTGTATGTGTGTGCATGTGTGTGATTAATAATTTCTAGTTTACACTATGTATCTTCACTTTTATATGATATCTTTTAAAAATTAAAGTATAGGGGGGCCGGGGATTTAGCTCCGCTGCCTGCCTTGCAAGCGCAAGGACCCAAGTTCAATCCCCAGTACCAAAAAAAACCAAACAAACATAAAGTATAGGGGCCAAGGATTTAGCTCAGTGGTTCTGCTGCCTGCCTCACAAGTACAAGGACCCTAGGTCAATCCCCAATACCAAAAAAATTAATTAACTTAATTAAAGTATAGCATGTATACAAAAAATTTCATGTGTTTAAAGGGTATAATTTCAACATAGGCACCCATGTAACTACCATGCACATCAAAAGAGCACATTCACAGCATCCCAGATCCCCTTTGCTTCGCTCAAAACCCCCACACAGGGTAACCACTATACTGACTTGGTGTTGCTTCCTTTTGAACTTCTTATAACTGGAATCATCCAGTATATAGTTTCATGTATCTGGGTCTTTCACTCATCCTTATGTCCATGAGATTCATTCATCCACATCACTGTGTACAGTGTCTGAATGTTTGTGTAGTTTTCTCTTGTACGAATATTCCACAATTCATTTGATTGTTAATGAGTTGTTTTCCACATTTGGTTATCCTGAATCAACATGCCGTGAACACTTTCGTGTACCCATTTGGGAAGATAATGCATTCATTTCTCTTGGAAATACTCAGTGGTGAAACTACTGAATTATAGAATAGTTTTAGGGTTAGCTTCAATGGTTTTAAACAGTTTTCCAAAGTTGTGGTACCAATTCGCACTCTACCAATGAGGTAAGAAATGTGCTCTGTTCATGACCAATAATGGGACTCTTTACTTAGAGTATTTTAAGGAAAGGAGGAAAGGTGTGTGGCAATATTTCACTGTGGTTTTAATTTGCATTTCTTTGACCACTATATTAGCCATCTGAATCTATTAAGTGCCTGTCCAGGTCTTTTGGCCATTTTTAAATTGGTTTGTCTTTCTCTTATTGATTTGCAGGAGCTCTTAATATATTCTAAATAGGAATCCTTGCTGAATCGGTGTATTATGGATGTCTTCTCCCAGCCTGAGTTTGCCTTGTTTTTTTATATATGTGTGATTTTTAAAATTGTAGCCAAATATATATAGTTAGCACGCTAACCACAGTAAGTACACAGTCTAGTAGGTTAAGTACATTCTTATTGTTGTGAGGCTGTCACCATTATCTATCTCTAGCATTTTTCTGTCTTCTCAAACTGAAAGTCCACACACATTGAACATTAACACCATACTCTGCCTCTCCCCTGGCCTGTGAAAACCACTTTTTTACCCTTAAGAAGAGGAATTTGTTTCACATCACTGAAATGTTAAAAATCATTACTGGCCTTCATTTGAGTCATCCTCTGAGTTATGTACAATTTTTAAAAAGATAAGGATTAGAAAAACATACAAAAAGATTAAGTTGTCAGTCAATGCTAGCTGGCACATTATCCGCGAATTCCCCTTGGGCATTGGCTTCTATCTCATTTAAACTTGTTTTCATATCAGAATTGGACAAAAACAATATGGAACTCTGTTTAAAAATTAAATTAGGCCAGGCGTGGTGGCACACGCCTGTAATCCCAGCACTCGGGAGGCTGAGGCAGGAGGATCACTGTGAGTTCGAGACCAGCCGGGGCTACATAGTGAGATCAGTCTCAACTACATAGTGAGACCCTGTCTCAAAAACCAAAAAAAAAATAAAAATAAAAATAAAATAATAATAATAATAATAAATGAAAATAAAAATTAAGTTAGTCCAAACTGATTTAATTTGTGTAGCCAGAGAAGAGTTAATACAAAGTACATTCTTGGGGAAAAAATAAAAAGAGGGGCATGTGTGTTTTAATTAAGACTTACAAAAGAAGACTTCTTCTAGATTGTTTTTCTTCATTGCTGGCTCCTTAGAAAATAGCTTTCTTAGCTTGGTTCCCAATTCCGAAGTCTTTCCTTCAAGGCCATCTAATGGAGTGCACTAGCCCTGGGGACAAAAGTCAAGGCAAAAGCTGGCTCAGTCCATCTTCCACAAGCTGCCTGACCCTCACATCTTTGTCTATGAGACAGACTCCAGTGTAGGATACAGGTCACTTCTTCCTGCATTCCTTTTTTCTTCCACATCAAACTGAGCTTCAACCTCTGCTGGATTCATGTACTTATAGAATCGAGCCATGATGGTAAATATAATACAGACAACCAGAAGCAATGCTGCAAACAGAATGTACTCAGCTCACTGTTTGCTAAAGTGGTCCGCCCCTAAAAAATAAATAAATAAAACAAAGTGGGCTGCCCCTGCCACAGTGCTCCAGAAACTCTCCCATCCCTGATTGGTCATCTCCTCCCTCCACCCCTTCCCCTGGATAAACGCACTGGTGTGGGACCACTAGGTCCACAGTGAGAGTGTAGTAGCTCTGTGGGAACTGCCAGATTGCTTTCCAAAGTGGCTGTGCTATTTTGCATTACTGTCAGCAGTGTAGGAAGATTTCAGTTTTTTTGGTTTCCTGTCATTTCTGGGATTGTCAGTTTTGTGTTGTTGTTGGTTTGTTTTGGTTTCTTTTTTTTTGCTATGCTGGTAAATGTATACTGATATCTCACTGTGGTATTAATTTGCATTTAGCCAATTATTATCATCAAGTATCTTTTCTTCTTTTTTCATTCTTTCTTTTTTCTTTCTTCCTCCCCACCCCCTGCACTGGGGATTGAACCCAGAGCCTTCACACTGAACTACAATCCCCCCCCCGATCATCCCACCCTTTTTTCTAGCTTTTACTTTAGAGACAAGGTCTTGCAAAGTCACTAAATTGCCCACACTGGAGTTGAACTTTCAAATTTGCAATCCTCCCATCTCAGCCTGCCACAGTGCTGGAGAACAAGCATGCACCTCGAGCCTGGCTTATCAAGACCCTCTTCTCTGGCTTATTTGTCATCTATATAATCTCTTTATTTGTTTTTCAGTGCTGGAGATTGAGCCCAGGGTCTTGTACATGCTAGGCAAACCACCCTTGAGCTTTGTCTCTGGTCCTTTTTTTTTTTTTTTTTTAATTTTATTTTGATACAGGGTATCCCTAAATTGCTTCAGGTGACTTCAAATTTGCAATCCTCCTGCCTCAGCCTCCAGAATCTCTAGGATTACAGGCCTGTGTTACTGTGCCTGGCTTCCAAAAAAAAAAAAAAGTTTAAATGTCTTTATTGAGGTACAGCTCACATATCCTCAAGCTCGCTCATCTTAAAGTACACTATTTGTTTTGGTTTATATCTGGATGCACCCTCAAAGCCTCAAGGGCTCCTAGGCAGAGCTTTTGAAAGGTTTATGGGATTATCAGGGCACAACAGCTGACTATGCTCTTAGGAGGTGGAGTTTTCCCAGAAGAGGGGACTCAGCAGGGCGTGACCTCGAACCTTCAGTTTCCTTCCCCAGCTCCTCCTGACTCCCGGCTTCCCCTGCAGGAAGAGAGCCCCACTCCCCAGACCCCTGTGCCTATGTCCTGCCTGGGAGCCAGCTGACTGCGGACTAAACGAGAGCCAAAATCACCTCTTCTCCTTTAACTCAAATATAGGGTACTGCGTCCCAGCGGCCAGAAAGTGACTAAGACACTAGTCAGTGTGTTTTAATATATGCACAGGTTAGACAGCCATCACCCCAGCCTCATTTCAGAACGTTTTGTCCCCTGAAAAAGAAACCCCATACTCATTAACAGTTAACTCTCATTCTTTCAACCTCCCCCAGCCCTGAGCAACCATTAATCCACTCTCTGTCTCTGTAAAACTGCTTGTTCTGGACATTTAATAAAAATGATAGTTTCCTGTTTTTTGCTATTCTTAGTATTGTAACAAAATGCATTCATTGCTCTCCTAATTGTTTCTAAGGTCTAGAGACACAACTGACTTCAGCATATTATTGGGCTTCCATCTTTGTCAAACTTTCCTGCTATTTCACATAATTGTAATATATATTTTTATGAACTTCCTATAAAGAAACCATACCTTTTTTGTAGTAACAGCACTGCTTCCTCCTTTCTGACCCAGTGCGGGCACATGTGAATGTGTGAGTGTGCGTATGAGTGTGTGTGTGTCTACCTCATGCCCTGGAAAGACCTGGCACAGTGCGGAACAGGAGTAGTGGTGGGAGGCATCCTTGTCTTCCTTCTGATTTCATAAAGAACGCTTCCAGTATTTTTCCCTCTTGGAAGGAAACTTATTGTACTGTGTTTGTTGATCCTGTTTTTCTGGTTTAGGGATGCTGGTCTATTTCTTTTGCTGAGTTTTTATCGATAGTATTTAATTTTACAAAATATTTTCCATATCAATTGTGAGGATGGATTCTTTTGGGGGAAGGATCCCTAAAGACCTCTGCTTTTGTGAGACCTGTTATGCCTCAAAGATTGAGTCCTACCCAGGGTCAAGTTGCAGTGGACAGGAGGGTACCTCAGAGCCCCTGGTGGTCATAATCCTGGTCCACACTAACATTTGCCCACTATTAAGAGGGTGTTTTTATCTCCACTCTGCATCTCTACCTCTTAATGGGTTGTGAATTCAGGATGGGAAGCAGGTATTTTTGGGCCCCTCCACTGTCCACAGGACCTAGCAGGGCAGAGCTAGGACACACAGCAAGACCACCCTCTCTGAGCCTGTTCCCTCTAAAGTAGTCCTGCTAGGCTGACTAATCCCAGGTTGTTGTAGAATTAAATGAGAAAAAGCAAGTAAAAGAGATTTGAAAACTGGAAAGAACTCAAATTTACAGGAATGTTAGCACTGGTAATATAATTATTGTTATTATTAAATTCACCACAGACACAGGAATCAAACTCTTCACATAGCGCTCAGGTTTCCTGCTTTAGCAACACTGCAAGATGTCACAACTACCAGCCCTCACGTGCAATTTTGCAATTTTATTTCATAGCCTTGGGCATGAACTACTGCAGATATTTATTATTCCAGATAAAGTCCTTTGTCGTTGGCCATACTCCCCCAAAGACAGACTAATGGGCTTGTTATTTTGAGCCTCAAGTGCTGTCATTGTTTCTCTTCCTTTGATAAATGTACCCACTGTTTGAATTCATTTCTATATAGAGGAGATAGCAGTTGCAATTTCATCCAGATGAACGGAGGAAGTCAAGTTTTTCAGCCTTATTTGCACTGCAACTCATAGACTTATGCCATTTATGTAGCAACCCAGTATAAACACCCACAAGAAACAGTTTTCACAGAAGAACCCATACTTCCCTACATATAATGTACTTTCATAGTCCCGATTCTACCCTCTACTACTATAGTATTTTTTTTAACTTATGCTTACAAGCAACTAAATTTATTTGCAACTTGGAGATCCTGAAGAGACGAGCTCCTTCCCTTCCCCCTCTCTGTGACTTAAAGTACGTTTAACCCTTTCTTCTTCTCTTCCTTCTTTCAAAAAATATGTACTGAGCACCTACTATTTGCCAGGCGCTGTACTAGGTGCTGGGAATACAGAAATAAGCTATAGAACAAGCCAGAGGAGAGAGGCACCCCCTTAGCTAAGTCAAGGCTTAATGGTTAAGCCCACCATTAATAAAAGAAACCTGGGGGTTAAGGGGCCATGCATCTGCCCCTTAAGCTCCTTCCATATGAAAGGGGTCCCACACGCTATTCTCCCTCCCTCTGTCTCTGTCTCTACCTCCCTCTCTCTCTCTCTCTGTCTTTCTCTCTCTCTCTCTCTCTCTCTCTCGCTCGCTCTCTCTCTCGCTCTCTCTCTCTCTCACACACACACACACACACACTCCCATATACTCTAAGAAGGTGGAGGAATTTGTCTGATTGGGATTTTGGAAAGAAAAAGTGGTTTGTGTGATCTTGACGGTTTTTGTTCTTTTCACCTAAAATCGAGCTGCCATCACAGTGCATATCTCTTAGCACCCAGGTGTGGTGGCACATACCTATAATGCCAGCACCTGGGAAGCTGAGGCAGGAGGACAGCCATGAGGTCCAGGACAGTCTGAACTACATAGTGAGACCCTGTCTTAAACAACAAGGACCAGCCGGGCATGGTGGTGCACACCTGTAATCCCAGCACTCGGGAGGCTGAGGCAGGACAATTGCTATGAGTTTGAGACCAGCCTGGGCTACATAGTGAGTTCCAGGTCAGTCTCAACCACATAGTGAGACCCTGTCTCAAAAAAAAAAAAAAAAGACCATATTTTAAAATGCGCATTTCTTACTCTGCCGTCTCAGGGGAAAGTTCCACCAGGAGCTGCCCTGGCACTGCCTGAGATGTGGTGAGTAAATCCATCTCATTCTGGAGATAGAATGAGATCTCCAAAAACAGCTCCTCCTCAGCAGTGACAGTGCCTCCATCTGCCTGGTACCAGCTGCTCCAGGCTTTAGGCAAGGGAGATAGATGAGCACTATTTAGAGGGCTACCTGCACACCCCCACATCTTCTTAGTGTCTGTCCCAAGGTAGCTTCTCATTCAAGAGAGCTCCTCTCCATCCCTTTCTGTCCCCTCAGGAGAAAGTTTTCTGCTTTGCAAAGCCCAGGAGCCAGGCAAGTGTTGACAATCATCCAAGGAAATCAGGACTGGGAAAATGATCTTCAGAAAAAGTCATCTTTTTCCCCTCTTTTCTTCCAGTGCTGGGGATTAAACCCAGGGCCTTCACATTGAGCTACATCCCAAATCCTTCAAAGAAAATTTTTGAGTTATGGTCTTGCTAAATTACTGAATTGCCCAGGATGGGCTTGATCTTGAGATCCTCCTGCCTCTGTCTCCCAGAGTGCTTGGATTATAGGAGTGCACCACCAGCCTCAATATTCCCTTTCAATCTTCCATGCATTCTGAAAGCCCTGCTCAGTGTGCTAGGCCTGCACAAGAGCTCCTGAAGCTTCCTGGTGGAATTTCTTTCCTTTGCTGGGATGTCTATTGCTTCCCTCCCGGAAAGCCTACTTCTCCCTGAAGGCAACCCAGAGCATCACTTCTTCTGCGACACCTTCTCCAACTCCCCCAGCACAGGA